CAATTTCATCACTGTGACTTTAGCAATACCCAGTGTTGTACGCAATGAAACATCATATCACAACTCCAGAGGTTCATGAAACAATTTGGGAACCAGTCTGCTGCATTCATAGCAAACTAATTGTTCCCTGCGATATTAAAAGAATGTGAGAACCCAGCCTGAGAAATGATCATGTGCTTCAATTTCTGTTTACAAGGCTGCCACCTAATGGTGAACGCTGGGTGTCGCTTTGAGCAGCGGACCCTCGCCATTCTCTGGCAGTCACATGTTTGAGCCAATCCATTTCTTTTTTCAGCTGACCTCAAAAGCAGATTCAAAGGAAGTAGAGCATGTTTTAATACTGGTGCTTTCATTCTATGGAGGAAAAAAGGTTTCAAGTATTTTCAACAGTAGGGGAGAAATAAGTGGAAAAGTCTGTTTTTCCTTCCTTCCACTCGTTTCGCTCCAGCTTTTGTGTCCAATTTTTACTATGTTCTGTTGTTCTGCCCTCCTTTTTTTTATAAAGGAAGGAGGAATGATTCATGCAGTGAAAAGAGAACAAATATATAATAAACCCTACATTCATTTTCCCTCTCCCTATCTATCCATTGACTACCATTGAAGCATGTATCAACTCTCCCCACCCATGATGCTCCAGTAACCGGTGGGATGTTGTTTATTAAGAAACAAGATCGTCGATAAGCAACAAGCTAATTAAAAATGAAGCACATCTTTAAATACATATTGTTCGGTTAGAGAACAGACGGGTGCGTTGCCGTCATGAATGGTGCGATTCATCAGATTTAATATCACATTTCTCACGTGAGAATCAGGCTATCTCTTCACATTTTTCTCTATAGCTGTGGTCATTTTTGAATCACGTAATTCTTTCGTCTCTTATCTACGCTCTGCCTCTTTAACAGTATTTATACCGAGCAAATCAGCTTTGCATTCATTGGAGAACCCCGGCTCTGCCATTTCTCCTTGCTAGTTTTCTAAAGTGCTCTTTGATAACCAGCTCAAACCAAATGGCTCATGTTGATCATAGCCATTCAGATCTGAAGTGTGTTTGAGTCCATGCTTGATGAGCCTAATGGACAAATGCACCCAACCAGTGTTCAGAATTAACTTTTGCCAAAAAGGCCAATGATGAAGAAATTGTTAAAGTACACCAGGATAATCTTTCCTACAGACCATGAAACAGACCAATTTTTTCTTTATTGTTAATTTAACACGATTATCATGATTATAAATTAGTCTATAATAGTTATTATAGTTATAATATAATTAGACTAACTATAATTAGTCTATATATTAGTTTATAATAACTAAATTAGATTTAGTTGTTTTTTTTTCTTGCATAGAAATAGAAATTGAGAAAATTCACCAGCCTAATATTTCCTACAGTCCATGAAACAGACCATTTTCTTTCTGCATTTTAATTAAACATTTAATATGAATATGTAAACATATATTTGTCATTATGAAAATAAGACTTTTTTTTTTGCATAGAAATAGAAAGTGGGAAAATTTACTAACCTAATATTTCCTACAGTCCATAAAACTGTATTATTTTCTATATTTTCAATTAAACATTTAAAATTAATACGTAAACATATATTTGTCATTATGAAAGTTAGTTTTAGTCCTTTTTTTTCCTTGCACAAAAATATAAATTGAGAAAATGTACCAGCCTACAGTTTCCTACAGGCCATGAATCTCTGTATTTTCTGTAGTTTTACTAAAATATGAATGGAATAAAGAATAATGAAGCTTAACAATATTCATGCATTTCCCATCATGAAAATTATATTATTCCATTTTTTTCTTACATAAAAATAGAAATTGAGAAAATGTATCAGCCTAATATTTCCTGCAGGCAATGAAACCATCTTTTTTCTGCATTTTTGATTAAAATATGAATATGAATAATAAAACATAATAATAATTATGCATTTGTCATCATGAAAATTGGATTATTTAGTTAAATATTAAATATTTCTTACTAGCCATGAAGCACTGTTTTTAACAAAACCATTAATTTGATTAAATAAAAAATATTAATAATATAAACATTATTAATTTGGTCATTATCTCACAGTTTAACCAAACAAAAACATCAAGATCATTATTTTGTTCCTCAAATTTTTATATTGGTGGATTAACGCAAGAACGTTTCTGCGTATGTTCCTACAAATGTAATCAAACCATATATAATGTTGCATTTACAAATAAAGTTCCCTGTCAGTGGTGAGTAACTCCTCATTTTTACTCGCATTTAACACGTGGCAACTGTTAATTCTTGACCCTGCACCCACCCCACAGGGATCTGTGTATTGATCAGTGCACACACGTGTATGTGTTAGTGAGAGCTTGTTTCAGAGATGGAGAATTGATGCTGAGTATAGGTCTGTAGTATGTGTAGTGCAGGTCTTGAGGAAGGATGTGGTCATGCATGTCGACAGCCGAGTCTCAAACCCAGGCTTTACTCTCTGCCACTATGCTCAAACAAAGCCTCTTTCTCTTTGCACTGCCTTCACGGCCTGATGATCACTGGGCTTCTACACAGCTAAATGAGCCTTTGTGTGTGTGCGCATGAGCATATGACCATGCAGGAACATTAATATTGTGTGCACATATCATTCTGTCTGTTACTTGCTCAAATAAGTGCCCAGTAAAAGATGGATTCAGTCTGTAATCATTAACCCATGGGCTTACATACAATAATGAAGTCGATATCCACCAATTTATTCATTTATCGATCTGAATCACTGTAGATATGAGGGGGGAGGGGGGAGAGTAAGCTAAAAGAAATGTTTTTCTTTATAATTCTAATTAGGTAGCAAAAGCGATCCTATCGTCCTCTGCCATTCTCATCTCTAAAAACACACTGAATAGATTCCAGCGAGGTGTGGGGATGCGGATGATGTAATGCAAGCCGTCTATGTGGTTTCTTCCTCCTGAACAAAGGCGGGCTCTTATCAGTTTGGCAAACCCGCAGAATGGATTAGCTGTGGATGGCTTGAGCCTGTAATAGATCTTCTCCGGAAACCATCTCAAGGACTTTCACTCTGCTTCAGATTCCTGGCACTCAGCACTTTCACAGGCTACAAGCACTAGGGGTTTTCACACCAAATTCAGTCAACGCTCTTCTTGGGGTACAGCTCAATATTACAAACCCATTCAGAAATGTTTCCCTCTACATATAATTTATATCTATGAGAAACAGTCCACTAAATCTATTTTTTACTCATTGCAGCATATTGTGATATACAGCATGGTGCAGATCCCCAGCTTTGCAGTGTCCACAACCCCCTCTAGTGGTGTAGCAGAAGACTGCACAGTTTTAGAAGTATGCAGTAAGAACAATATGACTATGTTCAGAATGGAATATTAACTTAACCCAGTATAGAGCTCCGGAGGTTGACGTCACGCACTCTAAACACCACCATTTTGGCAGGCAATCAGGAGAGCGCTAGAGCATTGGTATCGACAGTTGTACAACAATAATTTAAACCCAGACTATTTAGACCTTACAAACCTTACTATTTCAACAAGGTGGACAGCTGCTATGCGCCAGGATGCCAGAACAGGCAGGGGCTGTTGTCAAAGCTAGGGTTGACAACCGTCCCGTATACTGAGCTTAATTTATGTGTCCCGTACGTGACCTCCCTTGGCCCGTTTCTTGCCCCCTCACGCAGTATACATTAAGTAAATCAGAAAATCCTGAACATAACTGTTTAAGGAAGGCTGCAGAATCCTCTGCTGGCTGGTCACTCCCGCTTCACAATTAAGCGGCGCTCGCGCTAATGCCAATTCCGTCCGTGTGTTGACTTCAGTAAATCAGTTTTGGCAAATACAAACAACTTGATTATTTTTCACGAGTCCAACATCCAGCCGCGCAAGAAACCATGCAATCTACCCGAGACGTCATCAATAAGGGAAGCCGTCTTTTATTGCAAAATAGAGAAAAAACATTTTACATTAGTAAGCTTCTTAACCTCGTAGTCTATCTTATTCGTAAAACACACAAAATGACCAATAAAAAAAGTGTCAAGCACCAAAGGCAGCCCATATTAAATCTATAAGTTATCTTTAATTCAAAAATACGCATTTCCACATATATATATGATACACGTTAAAAGCACCACGGGGGCATTATAGGGATCTGTTATGCTTAATCTATTAAGTTTTGCTATGTACAGGTCTATGTCTTTTGAATTAAAGCACGCAGTGAACTCTGTTGCCTTGAAACTCATGCTGGCACCATTCATTTCATATTCGCTCCCGGCTGTCCCTGCCTGCCAGCATGGTGGTATAAACAGAATGGGTCACGTGACGTCCGGAGCTCTATGGACTGTAATACTATGAATAATATGGTTGACATGATTTTTCCCGTATGCATTAAACAGGATGACCTAGTATGTATACTGGCCACAATGATCACAAATTGTCATTAAAAATGACATTATGTGTGAAAATGCACAATTGCTTTTTAAAATGATAACTAGACTTCTCTCTCTGAATCAAACAGGTCATGTGACAACAATGTAGCATACTATTTTTAATTATTTGTTTTTCACAATGCGTACACACGCTGTTGCACAGTTTCACATACTATTTTTAAAAATAGTGGGAGCATGTGGTGTATTCTGTGCAGTATGCAATACACAGCATGCTAGTATTCTGTTCTGAGATTCCATTTTAATTCAATGTGACATGTCACATCTGATGCATCAGTGGAATCTCATATTTTTTGACTTCAGTCCTTGTATTGTGAAGTATAGTAGGCCTATGTGGGTTTTGAATATGAATCGGTCGGTTTATTTTTCACAGTTTATCTATTCAATACCATTTTCTAAAAATATAATGGTCATCAAAGTGGCTGACGTTTTTTAGAATACCATAAATAATAGCGGGGCAAGTGCTCTCATCCATTGACAAACCAATTTAGGTGGTTCTGGATCAGTGCACTGGGTTTTCCAACAGTAGCTGTAAAGAAGGAGAGGTGATAGACTCACGGTCATTGCAGAGCGGCCCTCCAAATGATGTCATGCTGCAGTCGCAACTGAACCCCTCCCACTGCTGCAGACACACGCCCTGATTGGAGCAGGAATCCTCTTGACAGGTAGTGCTGGGGCCTGAAGAGACCGATGACAGAGTAGTGTAGAGAGAGAGAAACAAACAGACAGGAAGAAAAAGAGAAGGGTATATAAATTCATAGGCCCCTTACGACATAAAAATCCACACTAGTGAAAAGCTTTTATTGCAGCAGAAACAGCCACACAGAACCATCCCATCTACCCACTCCCCTAGATGAAAAACCAACTAACAGTGAGGACAAAATCTTCTGTTTAACTAACTATTAATCTTTCTCAGACACTCTTTAGGGATTGGGTGAAGACAAATAGTTTATAAATATATTAAACATAGTATAAATAATATAATATATATAATTTATAAAATAAATATTCACACAAATGTATTACATTCAAATGTTACTATTGTACAAGAAACATAAACCTATAAATCTTTTCCGTTTCAGTGTGATTTCATATAGCATAATGAGTGTGCTTATTTTAGCTCATATTATGTCATTATCTTAGATCATTATCACCAAATAAAGTCCTGTACAAAATATTGTAAGGTACACTCAGTCATTTTTTGTTCATGTTGTGATGGCTAATAAGACGACATCCAAAATTACAGTATGCACTGAGTATGTACTACATTTGATGAAAAAATTACTTCATGACTGTTAAAAGTTACATTCTGTAATTATGCATATGTGTAGTATGTAAGACAATCTAGACACACTATATTGGGTATGTATGACCTCAGCTTCACCATTTATGAATATAATAAGATAGTAAAATGTCCACTGGATGCACACCTGGCATTTTTATGAATACTACATTTTCAGACATACCATTCATTTGACACTGCTTTTCACATGATATATTAATAAGTAAGTTACAGTTACAGTTAGACTTACACTGACACCTGGTGGTTTAGATGTACACTTCTGCTCAAAATTTTAGGTCAGTAAGATTTTTAATGTTTTGATAGGAGTCTCTTATGCTTACCAAAGCTGCATTTATTTAATATAAAATACAATAAAAGCAGAACTACTTTGAAAAATATTACAATTTTAAATAACTGTTTTCTATTTGAATATATTTTGAATACTTCATTCCTATGATGGCAAAGCTGAAGTTTTAGAGCAGCCATTACTCAGGTCTTCAGAGTCACATGATCCTTCAGAAATAATTATAATATGCTAATTTGTAACATTTCTTATTATTATGAAAGTTGAAAATGTGCTTAATATTGGTAATATTATCAATACTGAAAGCATTGCTTATTAAACTGCTTAATATACATGGATTAATTAATTTATGATTCTTTGATCTAAATGTCACTACAGAAACGTGCTATTTCCAGTAAGTCATGATTAACTTATTTCACAAGTAAAAGTATATATAGGTGACCTGCTACATGTAAAATAATTAGTATATTAGCATATTGGTACTTTAAAGGTACATTTTAGTACCTTTTTAAAAGGTACGGCCCCAGTGACAGATTTTCTACCTTTATTTCTAAAAGTGTAGCATTGATTCTTTGTCTCAGGTAAGAATGATTTTTAAAAAGTACTATTTAAAACTTTTTAACAAGGTAAAAAAAATGACTGAGTGCGCCTTTAATCGGTCTCATTACTCAAGAAGACATTAAATATGGACAGGTGACTTGATTTTAAAGTGCAATCCAAGCACTGCACCAGTGGCTGTGTGTGTGAGACAGAGTAGCATTGGCGGTAATGCGCAGTGTATTGGTTACAGTAATAATACAGGCCCCCGTGTGATAATAACATCTGCTCCTAGTATTGCTGAGGTGGGTTTAAAGCAGCAGCACTCCCTGGGGACTCGGGGCTGTAAGATAAATGGGGGCCGTCTGGAACAGCTCATTTTGTGCTCAGTCTACAGAAGCGAAGCGACGGGGCGACGGGCCAGGCATATTACAGCCTGCGGAAACACTTCTGTTCTCATTTCTCTCATTACTTCAGCCAGCATGTAAAACAGGCCCCCTGGCCCCCAAACGCTCCCTCCTCTCCATCACTCAGCCATTTGGCCAATCAGTCGCACATTTGGGGCTTGGCCACTTGACTTGGAAGTGGAGCGAGTCTGGCAGGAAGAAGGAGGAGGAGAGAGAGAGACGCTACTTCAGCCGCCGGTACGATCCCGATGAGCTGCGTTCTTCCTGTCTCACCTGATCTGTCTGAGCAAAGCTCATTTAAAGTCTCAGGCAGAGAAACAGAGGGTTGGCTCGCTCCCCTGATGAGCTTCTCTCAAACCGAGTGTTATATATCTGAGCGGAGTAATCCGGCTTCGAGAGATTCCCTAACCGCTTGGGAAATTCCATCTAGTTTTAAGGCCCTTATCGGGGGGTGGGGGGAAAGGCTATAGGCTATTTCCGTCGCATTTCGGCGTGGAAGGAGCTGAAACCGCATGCAGTGGGTGGAGGGGGGCACTGTCGGAAGAGGAAAGGGGGACGCATGCCTCCAGTAAACAACAGAACAGATGTACGCTCCAATGAAAAGAGCAGTGACGGGTAAGTGAGGGAAAACTATGACACAGGACACTCTGAAACAGTTTAAGACCGGGAGGCTGTAAATACAAGGTGTGCGGATGGTGCTTGTATTTACGGTGATGGAGTTACTAGACCGGCTGCCGGGCAAACGTGATCTACCACATCAGACGCTCACATTGGAGGGGGGGAAGAGGGGGCATCGGTTAAGACACACATATGGCTATCTACCTTGCAAGTCAGCTTTCAGCAATGCAACTTTTGTCAGCCAAAACAAAACAAAATATATAAGACGTTAGTAGAGGCACTGGAATGTCTGTGCTTATAACAAATTAAGGTGTACAGAGAGAGGACATAAAGAAAGCAGACAGAGACCCAGGGAAGAAGAGAGGTGGAGTTAGAGATGACGAGAGAGACAGAGTCAGTCAGGAACAGACATGATAAAAGCCAGTAGCGTAGGTTTGGTTTGAACAGAAGGACATTTTTTCAGCCATGATCGCTCCCTGTAAATTGGATCCCACAATGACTTTATTAAAAACAAATAAGTGCATTCATAATGTAAGGTTTATATGCATGTAATATGTTGTGGTTCTTAGCAAATATTAGCAATTCTTTTACAGCTGAATATACTGATGGCCATATTAAAACAATCTGTGTGTATGTATTTTGCCAGACAAAATGTTACCAGAAATGTAAAAACAGGTTTGCTTTTAACAGTAGAGTTACAGATAGTCTGTTGTTAAGATAATTCAATTTATTTAAAAAGAATTGCAGTCTATGATAAGGTTCCATTTAGATATCCAGGTAAACATGTTTATTATAGAACTTTTATATTATTGTGGTGTTGGGTTTTAACAAAAGCTGCTGTTGCTGTTTTGATTTGATGCATTAGCTCCATTCATGTTTTTGAAAGAAGTCTCTTATTCTCACAGAGGCTACATTTATTTGATCCAAAATACATTAAAATAGTAATATTGTGAAATATAATAATTTAAAATAACTGTAATTTATTCCTGTCATGGCAAAGCTGAATTTGTAATCTTCAATGTCACATTATCCTTCAGAAATCATTTTAACATGCTGTTTTGGTGCTTAAGAAACATTTCATATCATTATTGATGTTGAAAACAGTTGTGCTGCTTAATTTTTTTTTGCATAAACCTTGAAAAAATGTTTTCTGGTTTTCTGATGAATAGAAAGATGAATAGAAAAGCATTTATTTGAAATTGAATTTTCTGTAACAACATTATTAATATATTAATTTCTTTAAAAAGCAAACAACTTTTGAATGGCATGTAACTTCGTAAGCTTAAACATTACGGTTTCAATATTAAAATTATTTACATAATGTTAAATATCTGAAACGTCACTTTAAATAGGCACAATATCACTTTTAACAAATCTCATAACTATTCTTCTACTCCCCTTTTAAATTAGTTTTCCCTTTTGGAATGATTGCACTGAATTCATTTTTAATGCATTCAATTAATCTTTTAAGGACAGAAGACAAAATGGCATATTTTTGCTAGCTCTCGCAGTAGTCCTGTGGGACATCCTCAGTTATGTTAGATGACTTGCTTTTATGATATGGTTATCTTTCTGAGCTTCAATGAAAAAAGGATTACTGTTAACTATTTTTCATTAATTAATATAACTACTAAAAGCTACTGGCAGTAACCAGTCTCTTTCTTTTTTAACTTCATCATAGTTACAGATTGGAAAAAACACAAGATCTCTTAAAAATGAAAGTAACATGTCCATATCGTTCACCCCTAATCTACACTCCTGTTGCCAACAGAGAAGCCTGAAACGGGTTAAAAATGGCCCAGCATGAAGAAAACACAGAACAGATGAAGAGAACAAGAAGCAGAAAGGATGAACAAGTGCATGAGAGGAGACAAGGATTGGAGATTGCAGTCATCAAGCGAAGGACCTCGCTAAGACGATCTGGTGTATGTTTCATTCATACCGTTTTCCTCACCTTCGCATCCTCTCTCCACCTGGCCGGCGTTGGACAGTGCGTCTGACAACAGGTCTGGCAAACGGCCGTTCAGGTCGACAGATGCCAAGCAGCCCTGGAAGCCCTCTTTAGAATGCACCAGCTTTGGCAAGTCCTTATACATCTCTTTGGCCACACCTCCCACATACAAATCACCTGTAGAGACAGGAAATATTATGCTCTGTCTGACAATGTCTTTTCAAGTCAACTATCAAGGGAGCATGTTATGTAAATTGCCATAGAAAAGACACACCACTGCCCCCTGCTGGTTCACTTGTTTGTTGCAATACACAACAATGTGAATGTCAATGTGAGGTAAAGAATGCATACAGGCTACATTCAGAAGTTTGGGGTCAACATGTTTTTGTTTTGAAAGGAAATTATTTATTTTATACAGCAAATATGCATTAAATTGATCAAATCTGATAGTAAAGACATTTACAATGTTACAAATGACTTAGATTTCAAATAAATATCGTCCTTTTAAATTATATTTTCATCAAATAATCCAAATATATATATATATCAAATAATCCTAATATATATATATATATATATATATAATGATTTCCATTTTATTTTATATAATTCTTGTGTCTTTTTAAGCTCCAATGATCAGTTAAAATTATCCAGAGAAATCATTCTCATTAAGAAAACATCAAAAGTACCTTTCAGATCCAGGTTCTTGGCTCCCATGGTAGTCTGTGTGGTGATTTTGGTGTCTATTTTGACCGTATGGAGGTTGTTTGTATCTCGTGAGATCATCACATTGTGCCAGTGATTGTCATTCAGTGGTGTGTTGGAATTTCCTTTGATGAGATGAGCTCCATTTCCCAGGTCTGACACATAATGGAGATATCTGCATGCAAACAGTCATGAAAACAATTAGCGGAGGACTCATTACAGTACATGCTCTGTGCATTCAAATCAAACATGGTGCATTAAAAACCATTAGAGCTCACCCTTTAACCAGCTCTACTACTATAAAGTCATTGCCATCTCCTCGGTTGTACAGGACGAGCCCATCTGGTGAAGTGGTCTTAAACTGGAAGAACAGGTGCATGGAGTAGTAGGCCTGAAGCGTGGGCAAGGTCACATAGCTAGAGCGAGACTTGAAGGTCACCGGGTCTGCCACGATGCTCCTGTAGCCGATCATGGCATTCAATTCGCAGTAGTCGATGTCACCGTTCTTGCACAGGTCAATGTAGGACATGCCATTGAAGGACAAACCCTGCAGGTGTCCAATGAAGTTGGAGGGCACGGCCGGCATATAACGCTTCTCTGTTACGATTCCCGTTTCCACATTGTGGAACTCCAGCTGTGTGTGGTCTCCCGTGATTTGACCTTACCAGGGCGAATAATTGAAAACAGATTTAATGTAGGAAGGGGACAGTGTCAAAACCGGCCCTGTCCCAAAAGGATGACAATGCTGCATACAGTATGTAGTGGGACATCATATAGTCTTATGGAATTCACGGACCGCATGTACACAAAGTGTGCTATCTGGGACAGGGCCGCAGTATTGCCAAATGGGCCGACTTAAATTTACTGCAGCAAAATTTGATTTTTAATAAACATGGAAGACTAGAAAAACATGAAAGCATTAAGAGTTGGAAGAATGTTAGAAGTATTTTAGGGAATTCGAAGGAAAAAAGGTTAACTTCATCTTTCTGCGATCCAGTGGGAGAGAAAGAAGCCCTTAAATATTTTAAAAACCTCTTTTAAAGCTTCCCAAGAGGAAGTTCTTTCACTCTAGAATCAGTAAGGTTATGCGAGTATAATGTAGCCCCTCAGTGGTTTGGCCTCCGAATGCTTCAGCATTAAGTGAAATACCAAGTCTATTTCAAGTGTCGAACACACACCAGTAAGTTCAGCAAGAAACTACACTGTGGGAAAGCACTACCTTTTTCATATGACACTTCATTCAGTGGGCAAATTGCAAAAGGTGTTTTTGCCCTTGAGGAGCATTGAGGGAAGGCTATTGGAAGTGAGCCACTGAATCTCTTCAGGAAAGGCCCTTCCTCAAGACCGTTAGCAAAGAGTACATGCAATTACTTAAAGGAAATAATTATGACCATGAGATACTCTGTGGTGCGTCCCTGAGATTTATCTTAACACCACAGATGATTTATCTTACATGGGATTTTAAAGGAGTCCTGCAATGCATTTTAATTGACTGCTCCTGCGGTTATATAATTAGAGCGATTTCTGATCGCTTTCTGTATATAAAATAATCACAATATAGACAACACTACTAACAGGGACAGTGTGAAGTTAATCGTTTAGCTATTGTGATGTCACAATTGTCCCGATTTCAAATTCAGTGATCAAAAGAATAATTCATATTTTAATCTGGAGAGTTAGTTTTGAAATGTGCGGTATGTTTTTATGTGTAATTTATGTTTAAATATCAAGAACACTTTGATTCTCCATTTCATGAACCCTTTAAAATTCTCTCATACACCCAATAACTATACCAACAAAGAAATAATTTCTTATTTTATATAAGCAAATCAATTTATATACATATTATGTAATATACAATACCTGTGGTTTCATATTTGAAAATCAAAGGTTATTTATTTATTTTCTTGCATGGAAACCCTGCTATACACCTGAAGTCAATATCAACAAGGATATCTTTACCTATTTTATATGATTTCTATTTATAAGATTTTTTAACATTTTTATTAATACTTATAAATGTTGTTGTATTATGCAGCAAAACTGTTTTTCGTATTGATAAGAATAAGAATAAAAAGAAACTGAAGCCATCATATGAATAAATTGCATTCTAAAATATATTTAAATAGAAAGGTTATTTTAAAATATAATAATTTTTCACAATATTACTGTTTTTACAGTATTTTTCATCAAATCTTACCTTTTGAATGGCAGTGTACATGTTAATAGATACAAACCAACAGGAAATTTCAATAATGTAAGTTAAAAACGAATTTAAACTAGGTCATATTTAAATAGGTCAGTTTTATTCGTCACAGCAATCCTGAATCTTTGGTATGATTTGTAATTCAAAATAAAGCATTAATCATATATATATATATTCATATATGGTGAGACAATAACCTTCATCCTTCAAACTTCAAGCGCTCTACACTTCATAATAGGACATAAGTGTGTGAGTCTTAAGATGGTAAAATACTTGAGAATGTGCTGTACCTTCAGAGGGCTGCAGGTCATCCACCATTAGCTTCAGACTTTTGCCTCTTCTGATGACACGAACTGTGTGCCATTCGTTGTCATTCAAGTTCTGGCCCGCAAATATGGTCTCTGGACCTTTACCTATAACATGTCCCACACAGCGGTTAACACAAAGAGCAGAGAGAGAGAGGGTGATAGAGAGACAGAGGAAGAAAGGGGTTGTGAAACGGGATAAACTAAAAAAGGGGTGTAGAGAGGTGACGGATATCCATGTAGAGAAAAAGAAGAAATAGCGGAGGAAATGATACTCTCACACATCACATTCACACATTTAGATCTATCTACATCCTCTGGTCCATTTTATGATCTCTGCAACAGCCTTGTTATGAATTCGGTCTTGCCTTAAATAATGTATTAGTTAGCATACTGTACACAGAGTGCAGTGAACAGAATTATCCCACTTCCGCCACCAGATGGAGCCATGCAACTGTTTTTCCAACGGCGCTTTCGATGTTCGGCTGCATATGCGTCTCACGTTCTTCCAATTCCTGAGTGGTTTAGGAAGCACATCCAAAAACCTACAGACTATAAACTCTATTCGAGAAAGCAATTTCTCGCCTGTAGAGCCTCCCCTTATCCCGTGTGCGCGTGCGGCGAGTTCGACGGGGCCCCTGGACCTCCAGGCTCCAATCGAGCTTCCACTAGATGATCAGAGCGTGCGAAGAGGAGCCTGCAGGCTTTGCGATTTCAGCCGCTCTGCCTCTCTTTGACACGTCGTTGTCTCTCCTAATCAGTCAAACTGCTGCTAAGAGGGCAGCGTGTCATTGTCAGGGGCCCCTGCAGCCCATCTCACTTGATAACAGATAAAAAGAGTTGCCATTAAAGAACTGCCAGGCTCCCAATCGATTTTCTATCCCTCCCTGCTCTCAATTACTATGAATCCAGATCGGCCGGCCATGAGCCAGCTCTGAAGGAAAGAAAAGCAGCAGCAGGTAAGGTTTCAGACTGCGCAAAAGCGCCCCCTAAAGGAATCTTTGCAGATCTAAGGAAAAGAAAAAACCACCACTGAGAGGTAACACTAAGGGGCCTTTTAAGCCTCCGGCGATATACAAGACATGACATGTGCTTTTTATAGGCCTCTGACCATCGCTGCAAAAGGATATATGTGAAAAGGTGACAGTGTGTGATTGGACAGCTGGAGAGACAGCTAAAGATCCAGGGCTGATATGCCTTTATTAAGAAGGCATGTTCAGACAAACTCACAAGCAGCAAAGACAAAAAGCCTCTCTCTCTGTCTGGGAGGGCAGATTGTTGCCATGGAACTGGGGCAGATGGTTGCGTGTGTCCGGTCACTTTGATTCTCATCTCCCAGGGTAGAGAGAGAGGGCAGAGTTAAATAAGACAGAGGCGGGCAGGGGCTGGCTAGAGCGCTCTGACAGGACAGGGCTAGCAGGAGAACACAGACCAGACGCGCACACACAGACACACACACGCTCGTCTTGGCCAGGAGAGATGAGATATATTCATATCAAGCTCATCCAGCTGAGAACGATACCCATGTGAAACAAGCGCAGGCAGCCATTTTGAGGCAAGACGAGCTTCATATTGAGGACACAGTAATTCAGCTCTACTGGGACTGACTAATCAGCAATGCTAAAGGCATTTTACAAACTCTTTGATCGACTGGCATATTTAAAATATGGATGTGTTACAGTTGAATTTTTCTATTTTTACTATGTATTGTAATTAACCAGGGATCAGGGCAAATATCCTGTCAAAATTGACAAATAGCATGAAAATTTTAATTGTGAGGGAATATATATATATATATATATATATATATATATTCACACACACACGCATATATATATATATATATATATATA